TATATATATATATATCAGTTTAACTAGTTCAATAAGTAACCATTGATCACTAAATCATCAAATCACTGCCAAGTATCGATTAAATTTAGAGCTTGGTCTTAACTATCTACGAGAAAAAAAAAGACTTTTTTTTCTCCTTTTTATGAATGACTAAATAATCTCATTCGGTGCTCAAAGTTCGATCCTATAGGTATATGATTTGAACAAATAAGCTAGTAATCATGGTGATGAAATCTAATTAATTAATTTGGCCCTCTGTTTGGTTTTGGCCTATTAGGTTGATGGAAAAGTAGGTTTTTAGTATTAGGGGAGTGATTTGTGGTTATGTAATTTCTTGTAAAAGATTTAGAGTGCCCCTATCTCATAAATATGTATTTCTTTTGCTAAAAATAAGGACTAATTTATCAAAGTTTTGTGAAACACTAAAAAAGTTAATTTCTTCAGATTTTCTTTTATAAACATATCATACCATGTTAATTAGTATCTCAAAATATATTTAAAATTAATGATTTAATTTTTATATAGATTTTATTTTAATCAAAATAATACGTTTGTATTTACTTAAATTAAAGGAAATAATATTTTTCAAATAGAAATATCTCATTTATTAATTTTTTTTATCATCATATTATTTGTATAAAATATGCATCAGTGTAAATTGATGACATATAAAATAAGGAGTTCACTGAAACTTTTTACTATTGAGATAGTCGTGTAAATAACATTACATTTTACATAATTAAGCGTGATATGTCACAATTAATTATGTATTCAATGCATATTAAATTAATTTATTTCGTGTTTGAAAATGTTATCAAAATACTGTTGAATTAAAAACAAAAAAACAAAAGCCTTATAATTTAAGTCAAATATGTTGACTTAAAATAACGTACTATATAACCAGGTCAAATATTTCTTCAAAAAGAAAATATATAGGTCAAATATATATATATATATGTATATATATATAGTTCTGCAGCGTGATATATAAATGACTACTGTCTACTGATACTGTAGGTTTAAGATTATTACTCCAGAAATCCGAGTGCTATTATCTGTAAGAAGACAGGGAGTGTTATCTTTGGCCTAATTTTCCTGCAAAATTGTAACGAGTATGTTAATTAAGCAAAATAAGTTAAAAGCTAAAACCAACCGTAGAGTATATAATAGTCGGAATTCACTAAACTCATTAAACAAAATAGAAGCTAAAATCAACCATAAAGTATCATGACCTCTGCACCAATTGTAAGATTTTTATCATGAATTAACAGCCCCAATTACATTTGTTTAAAAGCATGGCACGTGAAGATTTTATCATGAATTAATAGGTCCAAATACATTAGTTTAAAAGCAGCACACGTGGAACGTGTATGAGATATATACCAAAATGCATGCAAGTAAAATATGATGGGTAGCATATATACCTCTCAAAGATGAATGCAAAAGGAGCGAGGGCCAATGCAGCGAAGGCATTGCGATAGACAACGAATACGTAACGACTCATTCCAATCTTGAGACTGGCCATGGTGAAGATGTATGCTCCTGCAAACCCAAACTGAAGTCCCACCGTTAACAAATAAGGCTTTGCCTTGGTCAAGTTCTTTCCTAAACTAGAATAGCATATTTCTCCCATCCTAGTGTGTTTGAGACAATAATAGCAGCTATTGTTTTAAAACACTTGAGGGATGATCATGAAGTGGCCTTCCTTATAAACACTGAGCAGTGATTAAGACAATATGCACTAGGGAGAGCATGATTGAGGATAAAGTGATAAATATTTGAGTCCTTCTTTTAAAGTTCTATACTTTTGGTCAATCTCAAATAAAAGCTATATTATTATGTAGTGGAAGTACCCTGACACTACCTTTGGTTGATTCCCTCTCTGTTGAGTAGAATGAGTCAGACTACACTTTGGCAGTTAGCTACAAGTTTTTCACATACGCAACCAATAACTTTACGTTCTGTTTGGGATCAAATTACCAATTATAGGGGAACCACTTTTGTAACGGGTGTAATGATAATTCTCAAATATGTTTATATTTTTTTAATTAAGACTTTGTTTAAATATAAATTAGGCTAAAAACTTATTTTGGTCTCTTATAATAATTGTTTGTTTCAATTTAGTCTCACTTTTATTTTCGGTTTCAATTTGGTCTCAAACTAATTAACTAGTTTCAATTAGGTCCCTAATAAATTAATTGGTTTCATGTGGAACTTTCGTCCAAATTTCTTTAACGGTAATAACTGTTGGCCACGTGGATGCCACATAGATGCATAGGTGGATGTCACGTGACTGACACGTGGATGCCACGTGACTGACACGTGGATGCCACATGACTGACACGTGGATGCCACGTGACTGACACGTGGATGCCAATTTTTTTGAAAATACCTGGAATCAGAACGGCCCGTTCTGAAACCAGAACTGGCCGTTCTGGATGCACTCTTGGTGTGTTAATTTTGCATCTGAAACGGGCCGTTCCAGATGCAAAATTAATTCCAGATGCAAAATTAACACACAAAGAGTACAGCAGAACGGTCGCCGTTCTGGATTCAGAACAGCCCGTTCCAAAACTGAGAATAGAATATTCTTTATTAATTTTATTAAAAAATATAATAATTTTGAAAAATATTTTTTTATGGTAAAAATTCTAAAATTATTTATTTTTATAAAATACAATTGTCTTATAAATAGAGTAATAACTTTTTCTTTTTCTCTTTCTGTCTGAAAAAATATTTAAGTGTCACTTTATAATTTTTTGTAACTTATTTAAAATTAGAGGAATAAAATGATAAAAATTAATAGGATAAACATAATAAAATTATTAATTTATTTTCTTTTAGTGTCCTCTAAATTTTTGCATTCATTTAAAACTAAAATATTTTATATGTTAATTTGAATTAATTTAACGAAATATCATATAATTTTTAATTTTTTAAAATTTTTCATAAATTTGATCTATACATGAAAAACTTTTTAATTTAACAATTAAATTCTTAAAAATTTGATATAGAACATTAATTATTAAATAGAATAAATCTATCAAGACTTATTCTTGATATAAGTAAAAAAATTTCTTCATTAAAAATGAAGATAATTTTACCACAAAATAAAAAATAATTAAATAATAAAATAAAAAATAAAAAAAATTAATATATTTATTATATTAGATATAACAACATAATTAAAATATAATTAATAATATATATTTTATAAAATTATTAATATTTTATATATAAAAAAAAGAATGAAAAAAATTTTAGTGGGGGCAAGTGCCTTCACTATGATTAACTTAGATCTGTCCCTGCATATGGTTGTGTGATGAAATGTTAGTCCTGTGTATCCTCTTCCTTTACTTCAGGTTCTACCTCTTCAAGAACATGTTGTTGTTGGGGTACATCGTTAATGACTTCAAGGAAAAATACTATGTCATTTCATCATTTACTGGTTTCAATTAGGTTCCTAATAAATTAATTGGTTTCAATGTGAGACTTCCGTCCAAATTTCTTTAACGGTGTTAATTGTTGGTCACGTGGATGCCACGTGGATGACACGTGGATGCCAATTTTTTTGAAAATACCTAGAACCAGAACGACCCATTCTGAAACCAGAACGGGCCGTTCTGGTTGCACTTTTAGTGTGTTAATTTTGCAATTGGAACGGCCCATTCCGGATGCAAAATTAACACATCAAAAGTTCAACCAGAACGGCGTGTTCTGGTTTCAGAACGGGCCATTCTGGTTCCAGTTGTTTTCAAAAAAAATTTTCATCCACGTGGCATCCACCTATGCATCTGCGTGGCATCCACGTGGCGAACAATTAACTCCGTTTAAATAGTTTGGACGGAAGTCCCACATTGAAACCAATTAATTTATTAGGGACCAAATTGAAACCAATTAATTAGTTTGGGACCAAATTGAAACCAAAAATAAAAGTGGGACTAAATTGAAACAAACAATTATTATAAGGGACCAAAATAGGTTTTTAGCCTATAAATTAAAACTGTTTTAAAGTTTCTCTATTGAAAATAAAAAAATATTTTTTAGAAAAAAAGTTTTAAAAATACTTATACACATATTCAAACAAATTCTAAATAAATTAGGTAATTATTGAGTATATCTTTTTTTAAAATGCTTCTTGTTAAAATAAGCATTAAAAGCTAATTACTTTAGTTTTTTTTTTTTTTAGATTTTTGAATTTTTGATGTTTTTTAGTGATTTTGGAATTTAGACATAGGAAAAACAAGAGAAAAGAAAAAACTTTTAAAAAGATTGAGTCTAAAGGCTTCTCACTCAAGCAAACTGCTCTATTTGCTTGAATGAGTGAAACTCGAGAACAACCTTTAGAGTTCAAGGACTCTTGCTCAAGCAAATTACCCTAGTTGCATGAGTGAGGTAGACTCAAGAGCAATAGTGAGTGAAGAACTCTACTCGCTTCAACGAGCCCAAAAGCACCTTTGGAAAAATTTAGATGTGCTCGCTTGAGCAAGTCATCTCAAATGCTTAAGCCACTTGATACAACAAGCACATCTAGCCAACTAATAAGTTCACTTACCCTAGCTAATGAGTAAAAGTCCTAGAGGAATTTCTATAAAAAGCCCTAGAAGCAAAGAGAAAAGAACATTTGTATGAAGCCCATCTCAAGTGAGATTTGAGAAAATAGAGGGAGATGCAAAAGTCATCACAAAGTTCTTAAAAGTTTCCCTCTTATCTTTTGTGTGATTCCATTAGCCATTAGTGGCTAATTCACCCTATTGCTAGGAATTGACAAAGTTGATTTTAAATCCATGTAAACTTCTTATTTTGTTATTAATAATGTTTTTATTGAGTCAATTGTTGTTCTTTTGCTCTTAATTCTTGTTCTTGGATTGATTACTCATCACATGATCTCATAGAATTAATTAAGATTAGGAAACACTTTTAAAATTATGATCTAAAGAATAATACTAATAACTCTTATTGTTTGGAATATAGTATGAGTTATTAATCAACATTTTTAAACCTTTGATCTTAATTTGAGTTGCTATTTTTACTAAGGAATTGAGATTTTTACTAAAGAATCTAGAATTTCTCACCTAAGAAATTATGGTTAAAATACTATTTTTGGTTGTTGGATTAACCTAATAGTAATTGAAATTGAATAATTGAGAAAGATACGTGTGAGAAAAGTTAGTAAAATCAATCCTTGACATCTAAATTAATTATAAATTTACTACAATTTTTAATCTATTTTCTTATATTGAAACCCTAAAATGCATTCTTTAATTTATGCGTTCAATTTCTTTTATCTATTTGTCTAATTAGCATTTAATTAGATTAATTAATTGTAACACAAGTCATTATATTCTTTTTTTCCATTTTATTACTTAGGATAATTAATACACTTGCCAAAATTTAAAGTATAACATCTATCATATACCACCAATCATTACAATAAATTTTACATATAGTGACATATAAAAAGTGTAACTATAATTATAATATATACAAGCATAAATTATTTGAATATTTCTAGATACAATTTTGATGTTGATTTTAAATGAGATTCAACATATGTTGTATGTTATTATAGTATGTGTATATATATACTTTTTAATAATATACCAATATATATTATACTTAAGTATAGATAAAAATAATTTTTAATGACAAGTATTTTGTCACTATAAAGTATGTCACTATATAATAATTTTTTTTTGTAGTGAATGTTATCCTTTAGATTAATCCAGGCTCATGTTCGTGAGATGCACCCCCCACTATCATATCATCCATTCTTCTCTTCAATCATTGGCCACCATCAAGGATGGATGCACGTATGGTAATGTGGGGACAAATGTCTCCACTAAATTTTCATATCAAATTTTTTCATATACATGTTTTAATAAAATATCTTAACTTATCATTTAAATTTTTTTTAAATGTTTCCATTATTCTCTTGGTGTTTTATTATGTAAAAAGAAAAAATTAAAGTGAATAAATTAATATTTTGAAGTATTTTTATATTATCTATACTATTAATAAAATGAATATTTCTTCTCAGTGTATGTAAATTTTGAATTAATTTATTCTTATAATAATTTTTAAATAACTTTCTTTCATTATTTTATTTATCTATTCTCTATTTTTTCTACTTTAACATTTAATTTCTAAATCTCTTATCCTTTAAATAACTATCATTATTTTTTTATTTTTATATAGAGACACTTTGTACCTCTTTTTCTTCTAATATATTTATATGTGTAATATTAATTATAGTTATTCAGTTAGTAAAAAGGAGTGATGGTTGACCCAATCAAACCTATATTATACTATTTTTGAAAGAATTTTTTTAAAAAACTTTTGATACAAAAGATAAATGGTTAACTGATTATTTAATTATTTACATAGATATTTTTAAAATTTTAAAAATGAAAAAATTATTTAATATTTTGAAAATATGAGACTTCTTAGAAAATAATTATAATGTATATTTATATTTCAAAAAATATTTTTTTTAGAAAATATAAAAATAAAAAATATTAAGTTATATATTTAATATTACGAATCGATATTTTTGTTCTTACTATTTGAAATTTATAGATCTGTGACTCACTACAATAAACTATTGCTACGTCGTTCTCCATCATGCACCATCGTGAGAGACAATTTCTTCTTCGCTTGATTTTTTAAAATTAAGGTGGCAAAAAGG